TGTAGAGATAGGAGGCTAGAGATCTGCCAAAGAAAAGAGGCAGACTGGTAGATATTCCTATCAGCAGAGGGGTGGCTAACACGAAATCTAGAGGGGTTACTCTGCAGGCAGGTATGTATCTATGGAGTTGGTGATGTGGAGGACTGGATGATTTTGTGGGCAGTGGGGTAGACAGGGTAATCACTATTGCGGCATTGCGAAAACCTTTCTTTCACCCTACAAACATAAAACTTGCTGGCATTTGGCACTGGTAGATCTTCTGTGAATAAAAAAGTTCTTCTGACTTGTCGGCTGCTTGGTGAACAGCCTTGTTGAAGAGGTGTAAAATTGGCTTATAGAGGATAACATGACACAGTAGCTAGAGGTGAGTGGAGGTTCACCTCCTTCTGATACGCTTCCTGATCAGCCGACAGCCTTCGAGATTGTGGCAACAGCCATATTTTCCCTGTGATGCCTAGTGTTGGTGATAGTTTTTAAGCCGAGCCGAGTTTTCGCTTTAAAGCTATTCAGTAGCGCTATATCCGTTTTGACATCCGAACCAAACCTCACCAACCCTTTTATGCTGAGGTCGCAGCAGTCAATTTTCTCGCCTTTTCTCGCTTCCTCTGCTGCTATAGTTGCTAGATTCTGCCTGATATTTCATTTTAGAGGTGGTTTTGCGAGAGAGACTTTTCACCAATCCAGTTAAACTTATTTGTTTTTTGTTTAAACAACCCCTTTTTCCATTTTTTGAAGTAAATGTGCCTAATTTTGTGTGTCTTTCTCAATTCGTCCTACTTGCTTGTCAAGCGTGTGCACATCCATGCCTTCCTAAATAGTGATGCCAGTGACTCTGTGATGATGCTTTGACTCAAAGGAATTGCTTTAGCTTCAGTGAGTTTGGACACGAAGTTTGCTTCCCTTCTTCTTGATCAAACACTGATCCTCTGTGTGCAAGTTAGACGATTTGACGATGGAACTTAGACTGTTGCCATGAATGGGTGATGGCAGTTCAGCCTGCGTCGCAGTTCCTAG